TCTTTATAAATTTTATTACCTTAGGATAAAGAGAGGGCTTAAAAGGGTCCTACTTATTAAAGAAAACTAAATTATAAATAGTTTTATTTATATAAGCCTATAGCTCCTTTACTTACTTATCTTAATCTTAAGGCTTTATAAGAATCGTTTTATAGACTATAAGGGTAATAGAGTCGTTTTTTAATATTATTATAAGGGATAAGTAAAAAAGTTAGTTAAAAATCCGCTTTTTTAGTAAGAGGGGTAAAAGAAAGCTATAAAGGAAATAAGAAAGGTGCCTTTTATAATAACTAAAAAGTATAAGAATACTATTCCTCCTAAGCTTATAACTCTTATAAAGAGAGATATAAGAAGTATATTAAAAATATATAAAGGTAAAGTTAAAAGTAAAGGGTCGGATAGGTAGGGTAGAGATATTTAATTCTTATAAGGGTAGTAATTATAGTAAGCGAGTAATTATTATATTACCTTAATTATCCTTCTTTCTTTTATTTAATACTACTTTTTATACTTATTTAGTATCTTTATTAATATAAAAGATCCTACTTAAAGAAGCTACTAATATCCTCTTAACTATTAAGCTTTTTACTAGTTTTTCCCTTCCTTTCTAGCTATTACTAATATATCCGTCTTATCTCTTACTACCTTTATAAGAAGCTATTATTATATTTACTTCCCTTCTTACCCTTACCTTCTTCTTTATACCTCCTTTTAGCTCTTTCCTTAAAACCTATTTTTTTTTAGCTTCCTAGGTCCCTTATACTAAGAGATATCTCTAAGAATTATAAAATTAAGCTATACTTTATAATAATATAATCTCTAGCTTATATATCCCCTTTCCCTCTTTTAGCTAGCTATATAAAGAGTATTTCTTATAAGAGGGAAAGAGAGGTCCTTAATTAAACCTCTATAAAATAAAAGGAGGCGCTTAGCTTACCTTTTCTTTATAGCTCTAAGAATAAAAAGGAAGCCCCTTTAACCTTCTTAGCTAAAATAAAGATAGGAACGCTAAGTAGCTTAAAAAGGAGTAACCTAAGGGCCTAAGGGTCCTTAGGGGGGAGAAATACTATATAAGAGGAACTAAACTAACCTTTCTTTTATCTTTACCTTTATAGCTACCTTTTTCCTAATTAGTTATAAGCCCCTAGGTTCTATAGCTAGCTAGGACTATTAATAAGGGCCTAGACCCTTATTAGCCTTACTATAGCCCTAAAGGCTATATATAAGTAATAATATAATAAAAAGAAGGTATTTCCTTTTTTTCCCTTAGCTAGTTTTAATTAATTACCTTATCCTTCTTTTCTTTATATTAACTACTATATCTAAAAGTACTAAATATAATATTTAGCTAGTAATATACTATAATAGTTACTTAATAGATTTAAATAATTAAAATCTATTTAATTAATAAGGAAACTTAATTTCTTTTTATACTTTATATATATATATATAGTTATACTTATAGATAAATTCTTTTAAATATATTAGTATAATTTATATCCCTTTTTATTGCCTTTATAGTATAGTAGTTATATACCTAAGAAGCCTACTAGCTATAACGCTAAAGTTAGTTTAAATCTAGCTAAGGATATAATTAATTTTTAGTTAAACTAATAAACTATACTAACGTATTTATTAATTAACTAATTAGCGCTTTTAGAAGCGCTTATAAATATACTAGTAGTCTAGCCCTACTATAAGTAGGCCGGCCTAGACCTCGCTTACCTAGACCTAGCGATAAATTTATTAGGACCTCCCCTTAACCTTAGTCTAGGCCCCCTAACTAGGAAAATAAAAAACCTAGGGCTAATACTAGTAACTTAATAAGTATAGCGTAAAGCTAGTACGATAACCTAACTACTAGCTTAGCTAAAAGCTAGTATTAATAAAAAATAGCCTACTAGGCCTTATAGCGGAAAAATAATATAAAGCTTAGGAAGATATTATTATAAGATAAAGTTAGAGATAATTATATAATTAACTATTAACTATTAATAAAAAACGCTTATACTACCGATTAACGCTATATACCTTACGTATATAAAGGAGTTACTTTCTAAGGTTACTTTATAGTAGGGCTAATACGATTCCGACTAACTATAACGATACCTAAGATAGCTAGCGTAAGATTCCTATATATTATAACCGCGACCTAGTATAAGGGCGGACTAGCTATAAAAAAAGGGAGGGTTTTCCTTTAAGTACTTTAGTTTTTCCGTCCTATTTAACGCCGAAGTTCTAGATACCTTTAGATAGGTTACTAGTATAATCTTAATAATAATAATATCCTTTTTTATTAATATAAAGACTTTATAATTAGTAATAGCTTTCCTTTTTCTCTTACTTTTCTTTTTATACTTCTTTTTAGCTTTTTCTTTCTTTTTCTATATTTATTACTTTTTACTTCTTAGATCCTTATTACTTAAGGATATCTTTAAAGGATATCTTTAAAAACTATAAAATTAAGCTATACTTTATATTATTTTAAGCCTTTTTAATAAGAAATATCTTTAAAACTAGTAAATCTAGCTATATTAGAAATACTATAAAGAAACTTTATATAAATTAAACTAACTAAGATAAATATAAGTAAGTAAAGAATATAAAGGTTTTAAAAGAAAGTAAGTATATACTTTAATAATAATAATAATAATAGCTATTATTATTATAAAAAAAGACCTAGCTTTATATAAATTACTCTCTTTCTCTTAAAAAATATTTAGGTATCTCTTTAAAATTTCTAAGTATTTTATAATATTTATAGCCTCTATATTAACTACTTATAGTCTTCCTACCTTTTTAAGTATTTATTTAAGAGCTTTCGTTTTTTCCCCTTATAAGTCCTTTCTTTTAGCTTCTTTTTTAACTTCTTTCTTCTTTATATATAAGGATCTTTTTTTTTACTTCTATTTCTTACTATTAACCTATCTCTTAGTAAGCCTATTAGTCTATCCCTTAGTTTATTACTTAGCTTATCCCTTACTCTATTACTTAGCTTATCCCTTACTTTATTACTTAGACTCTCTTAGTCTATTTCTTATTCTCCCTTTAGCCTATTTCCTAGCTGTTAGTTTATTCCTCTCTCTATTACGTATCTATAAGGGGATTAGTCCGAGTAAGGTATATCGAGGAGGTCCTAGCTAAGAAGGTCGATAATCTATAGAGATGAAAAAAGAGAGAGAAAGCGGGCGCAGCCCCTATAAGCGCGGGGGCCGCTTATATATATACACGCACGTATAGGTGCGGAACAACCGCACTAACATACACCGGGTCTAACCCGTAATAGTATCTGTCTGTTTCTTTATTTCTTAGCTGCTTGTCTACTTGCCTATCTGCCTATCTATTTTTTATTCCTTAGATATTATTGCCTGCTTCCTTGCTTGCGTGGCAGACGAGGGCGTTTGTTCTTTATTATCGAGGGATTTAACGGGGGCAGTACCCTGAACAAACAGCCCGCGGAGCAGAAATTCTAGCAGAGTCCCTAGCAGAGTCTCTGCCTAGCCCCCTTATTGATCAGATGATCCCTTGGCCGGTGTTTGTTTAGGGAAGGAGTGAAAATTCGGTCTATAAAAGAGGTCTTTCTCTCCCCTTATCTAGCAGATAGCATCCTCTTTATTCTTGCCCTGCCTAGTGCTTTCTCTTTTCCTTCGTCTCGCTTAGGCCCCTCTCGTCCCTCTATATCTAGCTTCTGCTATTGCCGTTGGCGTGGGTGTGTCTTTAGGTGTGTGCCGCAGCTATCGTTAAAGTATTCTTACGGTATAGTATATAGGGATAGCGGACTATAGTTAGGCGGAAGACGGGCCGGCTAGTAGGGCTAAAACGGTTGGTATTTTTGCGGTCGAAGAGTGGAACAGGTCGCCATAAAAACCCGAGGTATAAAAGCAGGTGGCGGTAAAGGGTGGCTAGAACGGCAGGAACGGCACGCAGCGCTATACGACCCGTGCCTACGTAGGGCCCAGAGGGAGCCGGAGGAAAGGTCCTTTCGTCACTTCGTTCCTAAGGTATAAGGCGCCAGGTTGTCCGTGCCTACGTAGGGCGCAAGAGGGGGCTAAAGAAAGATCCCATTGTCTCGTTTTTCCTTAAAGCATATATAGATAGGCCAGCCTATATAGCCCTTACGTCCCCGGCCCTTTAAGACCTAGCGAATTAAACGAGTTTCTACGATAGCCAAGGAATGTATATATCTTAGACAGTGTATATAGATTAAGTATATAACTTACTCTAGACAAGCTATTAAGACGTTAATCATATCTTTTAATCTTCTTATAAGCACTAGAGACGTCTTTTTACTTTGCAACGCGTTACTATAGTAATTGCTAATCTAGAACGCCATTATACGTAGGAGGGCGCCTGGCAGCGGCAGCGGCAGATATACCTCGGCCATAGCATAAGCTTTAGTCTAGGCAATCAACTAGCAGGGATTATCGCGCTAAGCAAGAATCAAATGCCAGCTGAATAGGAATGGTTTATCTAAGATGAAGTCCACTGGTATCTGCCAAGGGAGCTAGTCTACGTTTCTTCCCCCTCGACTTCTAGTTGCTAGATATTATATATATATGTATATACATCCGCCTGCTTCCTCTTTACTCTATAACCGGCCATTTAACGGTTATTCCCGACATATGAACCAGTCCCTATATGTCGGACTCTCTTTAATTCCTATTTATGCATTCGCTATTCCAATGTTTAAGTCTAGCCTACTCTTTGCGCTTCTACAGCCGTCTCTTTTTACACTGGCAAGGGTCGTTCATCTCGATTGGGAAATAACATGGGTCTGGGCTGCTCCTGACGGGGTTTACCGTCCCATGATTGGTATCAATGGCGAATGGCCCTGCCCGCAGGTTAACCTGTTTTTAGGAGATCGTGTCATCATCGACGTGTACAACCGTCTGGGCAATCAGTCAACCGGCATCCACTGGCACGGGCTCCACCAATACATGACAGGTGTGATGGATGGGGCCTCCCAGGTGACGCAGTGTCCGCTTCCGCCTGGTAAACATATGCAATATAACTTTAAGGTATGGAGATCCCATCTACAGCTATAGAATTCAGCCAACGTCCGTAGGTACGCCAATCTGGCACATATTGGTACCATTCGCACAATATGGGCCAGTACCCCGACGGACTGCGAGGCCCTATCGTTGTGCAAACTCCCGATACTCCATTCGACTTCGACGAAGAATTCACCCTTACCTTGGGAGATCACTACCACGAACAAATGCCTTCTCTGCTTAACAAATATGAGTCTCTTCGAAATGGAGCCCATGGGGGCCTAGAACCTCTTCCAAATTCCTTGCTGATCGGTGAATCTACCAACACCACCATCGAGGTAAAGCCCGACACAACATATTTGATGCGTGTAATCTGCGTCGGCACTTTCGCGGCCCATGGTCTTCTATTTTATGGCCACGAACTTACTGTCGTCGAGATCGACGGCGTCTTCACTGACCCAATACCTCTCGGGGCTGGTATAGGGGACGGCACGCATCCTATAGGGAACGGGACGCTTTCTAGGTTCCTGCCTGGAAAGCGCGTCAGCTTCTTATTCCGGACGAAGAACGACACCAGCCGCAATTACCCTATCGTTTCTATCATCGACCCCGGCCAGCTTTTTACCGACTTTAATAGACCTATGCCCGACAATTATAACACAAATGTCACGGCGTGGCTGGTATACAATAAGCACAAGCCGCTACTTCACCCTCCCGCAGTACCTAAAATTATAGAGCAAAACTTTGCCGACGACATTCTTTTCTATCCAGCGGACCACGAGCCACTCCTTCAACCCGTTGATCGCCAAATCATTTTAGACACGGGTTATAAGACAATAAACGGAGTGGCCCGCTTCACTATAAACGGGAAGACTTACCTTCCACCCAAAACCCCATCTCTATATACGGCTCTTACTATTGGTCCTAAGTATTACTCTAATCCCGCTGTTTACGGACACGTTAACCCCTTTGTGATTAATTTTGGCGAGATTGTGGAAATTGTCATTAATAACAACCATAATACTGTCCATCCGTGGCATCTACATGGGCACCAGTTTCAAGTACTCCAGCGTTCGTCACTGAATGGGGGACCTTTCCACGGGTACTTTAAGAATATATCTGCGACACCGATGAGGCAAGATACCGTCGTTTTGCAAAATAATGGACATGCGGTGATCAGGTTTCGCGCAGACAACCCAGATAGGTTTTCCTGTCCCTCTGTTTTATCGTCAGCCATATACTAACAGCATTATACGTGTGTGGCTTCTTCATTGCCATGTAGAATGGCATGTTGAAGCCGGCCTGACGGCAACTATTATTGAGGCACCAGAAGAGCTGCAAAGCATCTCGCGGCCGCAAGATGGATTAAGAATTTGTGCCGCTTACGGCAGCCCGACGCGTGGAAATGCTGCGGGGAGAAAAGGAACAGATTTAATAGGACTCAAGACGGAGGTGACTCCGGGCAACACTGGGTAAGCTAAAGTCTATTTATAGGTTAACTAGATTAAACAGCTAACGATAGAAGCGCAATGTACCGCTATAGTAGTAGGAAGGGCTATACTTAAAGGTGTTATAAAGGTTATATAGACTATTAGTGTTTACTTTTAAATAAAATAAAGGATAAAGAAATTATTACGCTTAAGGGCGATACCGCTCCTTAAGATAGATTTAATAATTAGAAGATTATTTCTTATAAAGTAGATAGGTACTAGTTATATTACTTATATTTATAAATCTTAGTATAGCTTTAATATTATAGTATAAGTTATTTAATTTTAAATATACTATATTATTAGTATAAAGTATAAAATTAAAAGTATAAGGTAATAAAATTAATAGTACTTTTTATAAAGATTTAATTTAATAAGATAGAAGTTATAATAATTATAATAAAAACTTCTTTATTAAGTAAAAGATATTTTTAGCTTTAAACTAAAACTAATAAGTTATATTATATAATATAAGTTTATTTTAATAGTATACTACGCTTAAATTATTAAGTAAGGTATTTAATACTTATTATAAAATAACTTAAAACTAGTAATTTAGTTAATTATAATAACTTTAATTTACCTAAGGAAATAATTATAAACTTCTTAAAACTATAAATAAAAAAGGAACTTAGTATTAAGGATACTAAGTATTAGTAAAACCTATTATAATTAGTAATAAATATAAAGAAGTACTTACTATATTTAGTAGTAATCCTTTTATTATATTAAATAGTTATAAAATATACTATATAAGTAGAAAGAGTAAAAAGCTTATTCTTTTTAACTTATTATAAAGCGTAGCTTAATTTTATAGTTCTTAGAGATATCCCTTAGTAAGAGGGATCTAAGAAGCTAAAAACACCTAGTATAAAAGAAGGAATAAGGAGCTAAAAGGAGGTATAAAGAGGAGGGTAAGGGTATAAGGGGAAGTAAAAGTTCTTATAAAGAGAGATATAAGAAGTATATAAAAATATAAAAAAGTAAAATTAAAAGTAAGGGGTTAGATAAGTAGGGTAGAGATATTTAATTCTTATAAGGGTAGTAATTATAATAAGGGAGTAATAGTTATATTACCTTAATTATCTTTCTTTCCTTTATCTATTACTCTTCTTTATACCTATATAGCATCTTAATTAATAAAGAAGATCCTACTTAAAGAAGCTACTAATATCCTCTTAACTACTAAGCTTTTTACTAGTTTTCCCTTCCTTTCTAGCTATTACTAGTATATCTATCTTATCTCTTACTACTTTTATAGGAAGCTATAAGGTAACTAAGAAAAATATATAGGGTTTAAAGGGTATAAGAGAGGTATACTCTTTTAAATTATACCTTTAGTAGTAGTAGGGCCGCTTTAGCTTTTAAGGCTTTAATAAAGGATCCTTTAAAGGCCTTTAAGACCTTTAAAAGAGCTTAATTTTAAAGCCTTTAAAAGGGCTTTATAAGGCTCCTAAGGGTCTTAGGCCCTCTTTATTAAAGCTAGGCCCTATAGTTTATTATAGAGGTTATATCAGCCTAATAAAGCTACTTAGAAGCTTTAAATAATAAGCCTCTTTATATAAAGACTAAGTAGGATAGTCTTTTAAAGGTAGCTTATATAAAAGCTACCTTCTTCTTAATATATTATTTAAATAGTAGCTTAAAGTTAAAGAAAACTTATAGCTACTATACTAAAGGCTTTACTTTAAAGAATAGGCCTCTTACTATTATACCCTTTAAAATAAGCTATAATTACCTACTAAAGTAAATAAGTTCTATCTTAAATAAGTTAAAATAAACCCCTTACTCCTTAGCAAATTTAAATTACTTAGTAGCTATAGCTTTTAAATACTAAACGTTCTTCTTAGTAAAGGTTAATATTATAAAGATATTAAAGTTATTTATATAAGATATCTAGTACCCCTTAGTCGTTAATATCCCTATTATATATAAGAAGAATAAAATAGGGCTAATAAGGGACCTTTAAGGTACCTTTACTACTAAGTCTATAAGGGGCTAGACCTACCCCTTAAAGGCTAGCTAGATCTTCCTTTTAGTAAGGAAGTAGTTTACTTAGCTTATAAGGACCCTAAAAAGGTTTAAGTCCCTTAAGACCCTTATAAGCTATTCCTTTAATATAAGGTTAAAAGCGCCCTTTATATTTAATAAGAGGGTACTAGTAATAGCCTTCTTATTAAACTCTTACTTCTTTTAGATATAGTATAAAAGTAAGAAAGCTATATTTATAGCTAACTACTATTTTTATCCCCTTAGCTTTATAGGGTTTAAAAGCCTAGCTATACTAGCTAAATAGCTTAGCTAGGTAGTTTCTAGCTTTTTAAGGACCTTTTCTAAGTAGTTAATTAAACTTAAAACCTTATAGGCTTTAAGGATAGTATAGTTTAGCTTATTTTACTTAGGAAATATAATTCTTATAACTTCCTTCTATACCTTAAAGTAGTATATATAGTAAAATAAAGCTTTATAAGCCTTATTAAGGATATAAATATCGCGAAGTAACGCTTAATTTAATAGTTCTTAGAGATATCCCTTAGTAAAAAGGACCTAGGAAGCTAAAAATACTTAGTATAGAATAAGGAAGAAGGAGCTAAAAGAAGGTATAAAGAAGAGGGTAGGGGTATAAAGGGAAGTAAAACTAGTAATAGCTTCCTATAAAAGTAGTAAGAGATAAAACGGATATACTAGTAATAGCTAAAAAAGAGGGGAAAAACTAATAAAAAGCTTAGTAGTTTTTAAGGTATATAAGTAATAGCGGAATTTTAGGAAATTAAGGAATTATAATAGTCTATATAATAAAAGGAAAGAAAGAGTATAAAGTAGGGTTTATAATAGAATTTATTAATAGTATATTAGTATATAAAAGAGGTAGTAAAGTTAATAATTCTCTCTTTATTTACTAGCGGATATACTACCTTATATAGATAATTATAGCTAAACGGAAGTACCTTTTAAGACTAGATTTAGGCTACTATATAGCCTTAAGATAAAGGAATTTAATAATACTTTAAGTATAGCTAGAAGTATCTTAGTTCTATTAATATTTATATTTAAAGGAGGTTAGTCGTGCTAGTATTTTTAAGAGGTCTTAACTAGTATTCTAAGCTAGCTCTATTCCTTTAATTCTAGATTATATAATAACTAGTAACCCGTTTTATATATATTAATATATAGAATAGCTAGCGATTCTTACTTTATAGGATAGGATTTTATTTATAATTAATATACTACTTATTAGCTTATATAATTAGGAGAGTATATTCTAGCTACTTTATTTATAGTAGAAAAACACTGTTCCTTATAGTAGTTAAAAGAATATTAGTTGCTTCTTTAAGAAGGATCTTTTTTATTAATTAAGATATTAAATAAGTATAAAGAGTAGCGTTAAATAAAGAAAAGAAAGTTAATTAAGGTAATATAATAATTACTCCCTTACTATAATTACTACCCTTATAAGAATTAAATATCTCTACCTTACCTATCTAACCTATTACTTTTAATTTTACCTTTATATATTTTTATATACTTCTTATATCTCTCTTTATAAGAGTAATAAGCTTAGGAGGAATAGAATTCTTATACTTTCTAGCTACTATAAAAGGCACCTTTCTTATATCCCTTATAGCTTCCTTTTACCCCTCTTACTAAAAAAGCCGATTTTTAACTAACTTTTCTACCCTCTTTTATAATAATATCGAAAAATAACTCTACCGCCCTTATTATCTATAAGATAATTCTTATAAAGCCTTAAGATTAAGATAAGTAAGTAAAGGAGCTATAAGCTTATATATATAGAACTATTTATAATTTAGTCTTCTTTAATAAGTAGGACCCTTTTAAGACTCTTCTTTATCTTAAGGTAATAGAATTTATAAAAGGAGCTTTTATTTTTTTTAAGCTAACCTTTATATAGTAGTATTATAACTATAGTTTTATAAACCGCGGAGAACTAATATATATCGTAAGGATATATAATATAGAGAGCAAGGAATATTAAATAGACTAATAAGCTAATTAAGTTTAAAGTAATAGGTTACTTAAGCGTTTTAATACTCTATAGCTAGGATTATAGGATCGCTCTAATACTTTAGCGCTCTTAGGCAATAGGATTACCTAGTACTCCTAGTACCCTAGGGAAGCTCTTAAAATATATAAGGAAAGGAACGAAATACTCCTTTAAATAAATAGCTCGATAGCTTTTAATATAATTATTATAATCTCTATTATAATCTTATTTTTAATTTTAATTACGTAATTACCTAGTTATAGTCTATAGTCTATAACCTTTAACTTATTATTAACGTTATATACTTATTATTACTTAAACTATACCGTATTATATCTTTTAATATAAACCCCTTTAAAGGTTTATCTCTTAAGAATAATACTAGTCGTTATATATTAAAAGCCCTTATTAAGTATAATACTATATTACTTTAAGTAATATTATAACTATTAATATACTTATATAGTAAGCTAGATTAACTAACTTTAAAGCTATTATATTACCTTAAGATATAATATATAAGATTATTACCTTCTAATATAAAGTATAGTTACTTAAGAATAAATAAGGTAATAAATAAGTTAGAGACCTTAAAGAAGTAGTTAAATTAAAATAGCTAGGACTATTTAATAGTACTTATAGTATACTTTAAGACTTTCTTACTTAACTTAAGGCCTACTACTAGGTTTACCCTATTAAACTCTTAGACTTAATCGAAAAGGTACTTTATATAGGAAATTATTTATTTAAAATAGTACGTACTTAGTTTAGACCTATTATAAGGAA